AGGAAGGAAGGAAGGAAGGAAGGAAGGAAGGAAGGAAGGAAGGAAGGAAGGAAGGAAGGGAGGGAGGGAGGGAGGGAGGGAGGGAGGAAGGGGTGGAGGGAAGGGAAGGGGGGAAGGAAAAGGGAAGAAAAGGGAAGGAAATAAAAGGGGAGGGTGAAAGGGAAAGAGAGGGAGGAGAGAGAGTCAGAAACAAAGGCAGAGAGAAGGGGAAGAAAGAAAAAGAAGAAAGAAAGGAAGGGAGAAAAGGAAAGGAAAGGAAAGAGGGAGGAAAAGAGTGACAGAAACAGAGAGACAGAGAGAGAAAGGAAGAAAAGGAAGGAAGGAGGGAGGGAGGGAGCAAGGAAGGAAAGAAAAGGGAGGGAGGGAGAGCTTCCAAGAAAAATCACCTCTCTCAATTCACACTGCGATTCATCAGACAAACAGAATTAGGAAAACCAACAGTATAATGAAAGGACATGTCCACACATTCATGTCTATACCTACCCAGCTTCACACACGCTGGTCTGCAGGTATTCTTAACTCACAATAAGGTCAGCAGGAATATCATCAGGGACGTCCAGAGTTGGTTGAGTTTTCATATTGGCCTCATTTATATCTTCTCTCTTACACCTTTTTAGTTATTTTTGAATCATAATGCTTAAAGAGAATTTAAAGAAAATGTTAAAGAAAAAATTTATTTCATGAAAGATTCTGGAGATATGATGTTGTTATATAGCCGATAGATAGATAGATAGATAGGTAGGTAGGTAGGTAGGTAGATAGATAGATAGATAGATAGATAGATAGATAGATAGATAGATAGATAGATAGATAGATAGATAGATAGATAGATAGATAGATAGACACAATGTTTAGGAAACTCCTAAGAATCTCTTAACATTTGTATAAATTTGTGATTATTCTTTGTATGAAAAAAATGAGTTCAGAAGATTTCATTTTTGGTTACTCTTTATATAATTCATTTAACAATTTTAAAATGTTATGCAAAATTTCTGACAGACAAAAAGGCTTGAGTGCACTGACTACTTCCTCTATTCTGATCTCTGGGGGAGGGAGGAATATATTTTCCCCTGATGCTGAGCCTTGAACTCTGGGACCTGGGCATTGTCTACAGACTCCTTTGGCTCAAGGCCAGCACTCTATCACTTGAACCTACAGCACCACTTCCAACTTTTCCATGATTAGTTGGAGAAGTCTCACAGACTTTCCAGCCTGGGCTACCTTCAAACTACAATCCTCAGCTCTCAGCCTCCTGAGTAGCTAGGATTACAGGTGTGAGCCACTGGCACCCATCTGGAAAATATTTTTATGCTACTGTTTTTATTATCACATTACCTGCCTGTCTATTCATCTATCAGCACCATTTTCTTTTTTTCCTTCTTGCAGAATAAGTTTAAAATGTCAAACACAGTCTCTTAAACACTTTTAAATGCATCCCATTAAATGAAGATTTATGTGTTTACAGTCTGGTGTAGGGTGTTTAAAGTGAATTTTCACAATTTTACAAATTGTATGTGAACCACTTAATGACACTGGTAGATGTGTTTGCCTGAATAGCTTCCATCTCCATTGAAAACTTTATGAACACAAAATATACTGCACTTCCTCCTGCTCGGTCCTTACCTCTATGTCCTCCACCAAAGATAGCCTTTGCATGGGTTTTCAGATAATTAGAATCATACCCTGAATATTCTTGCGCTGCTGCTGGTGTTTTATCTTCAGAAATACCCATGTTGTATGTGGTGTGTATCTGTAGCTCGTTTCTGTTATGAGTAACTCTTCTTTGTGTGGAAATCTACTATAGTTTGTTTGGTCATTCTCTGTTGATGGACAATCCCTTCACCTTTGAATGGGGTTGTTCATTAATCACTTTAAATGCATAATCTTTGGTAAAATTTGGCTGTATTTTATAGGCTATCTCAGTCATCATTTCTATCTTTCAGATGAGAGGTCTGAGGAAAACAATAATTGTGAGAATTTAGCCAGACCCACTGAAATTCATACAAACCTTCTTTTTCTCTTTTGTGCCTTAATAGTTAAGAAGCTGTTCCCTGTCTCCTGTTTAAAAGTATGCTGTGGAAATCAGTGTTAATGGGGAAGTTGGGCTGTGGAATTGGCAAGATTGTAATCCACAGATACCAATATCAAACAAACAAAAAAAATGCCAGGTGCCAATGGCTCACACCTAAATTCCTCAGAAGGCTGAGATGGGAGGATGTGAAGATTATGGTTTGAAACAAACCCAGACAGAAAAGAAGTCTATGAAACTCTTACCTCTAATTACCAAAAATGGAGCTGTGGTTCAAGTGGTAAAGCACTAGTCGAGGAAAACAACAACCAAAAAACCTCAGGGACATCTCCCAGGCCCTTAGTTCAAGTCCTAGGACCCACATGAGAGAAAGAGAGAGAGAGACAGAGACAGAGAGAGAGAAGGGAGGGAAGGAGGGAGGGAGGGAAGAAAGAACCAAGGGAGGAAACTAAGAAAATGGAAATGTAGAATCTAGAATCTGATGAAAAACTATGAGAAGTACCTACAATTCTTTCATTAGGAGGAGAAAGTAGTATGCCATGCTGGCAAAAAGGGAAGAATAAGTAGTTCAGAAATGAAAATGTACTCAGATCAAAAGGAGTCTGGTAAACAATGACTGGTAGAGAGCCAAACGTGGATGCTGACGTCCAAGCTTGACTTTGCTTTTGTTTCTGAGTCTTCTTTATGTTTTCCCTTTCCTTTCATGGGTACTTTTTTCCTCAGTCTCTATATTGCCATATTTCTATTTTTTAAAAATTCCAGACTACTCCAGTCTCATCCTCTGCAAATGAAGGAATTTCTCTAAAAGTGACCATTTGAAACCACCCCCATTGAATCACAGGGAACTTATTTCTTCTCCAAAAAAGAGGGTCAGGTTATGTTCAAATGCTTTTACTTTGTCAAACAAATAAAATTGCAAAAGGAGATGATGTTTGTTCAAATGTCAGATGATATTAAGAAGAAACAAGATTGTTTTGGTGGAGTGAGAATAATTCACCAGTCATCTTAAGATAAAACTATAGTCTCCATTTGTTCAACTCTCATGACCTTGACCAAAAGAACAGGTAAGTTAACATCAGTGACAACTGAAGCAGATAAACTCAAGCATTTCTTATAGTTTAAACACAGAATGTTCCCTGTGGATTTATGTGTTGAACTCTTGGTCCTCAGCTAGTGGAACTATTTTGGGAGATTACAGAAACTTCAGGAAGTGGGCCATGTTGGAGTAATTAAGCCATTTGGGGACATGCCAGCCTAGATCATACCTGGTCCCTAATCTCTTTCTCTACATCTACTTCCTGTCCACCATGAAGTGAATAGCTCTTTGGCACATGTTCCTGATGCCATGATGTTTTGCTCAGATACATGGGACCAAGCAACATGGATCCACTGAGCCCAAATAAATCCTTCTTTCTTAAAATTATTATGTCAGGTTTTTAAGTGATAGTAATGCAAAAGTAAACAAATATAATCTCTAAGGCTGTACAGGGAAGAAAAGTAGCTACAACTACAGAATCCTTTGGAAGAGAAAAATGGCTGCAATCTTACCTAACATGTTTATTAAAGATAGCTCAAACTCATCTTTCTGAGTATAGCCAGTAGTTCAGAAAGAAGACTTTTAATCTCATTCACTGTATATTTATATGTATCCATTACAAGCCTCATTTTTATTTCTGTAAAGTGACAAGATTAGACAATAGTGTAGATCCTCAGTATTTCATACAAGCGTTTGATTGTACATACCCATAATTAAATAAAATAAGTATTCCCCTTAATACACATTGAAGCTTTGAACTTCTTTGGACTTCCAAATAAGTAACAGATGATAATGTATGTTAATGTTTTGGAAATGTAAATGATTACAAATCTATACATGTAGTAATATGCATTTATCACAATATATTTATTGAGCCCTACTCTATGCCAGACTTGCAGAAGAAATGGCATTGAAATACATATTTCCAACTCCTCTCTTTTAGGCCTCTGCTGTTAAATGACTGTTACCATTTACAAATACTGTCTGTCTGTTCTTTCTTTAGAAAGACCACAGACAAAACAAGAAAGAAAAAAGAAAATGGTATTAGAGAGGATTCATGACTTCACATATCATCCTTGACACTCAATAATCTGAATGCACTTAATTCCTTTGAACTGTACAATTCTAGCTGCTATAGGTGTCTTACCATAATTTTGGGGAAAACCAAATGGAAATGGAAAATCAGGTTCTGATCTCAGACTTTGCCTAGTTTAACAGTGAGGACCGTGGTTTCTATGTGTATGTGCTCCAACTTTCTCTGTGGTAAACTGGGAATTGTTGCATTTCTCAAGGGGAGGGTAAAAACAAAACCAACAGGTAAAACGCACTTAGTACTTGTGCAAATACACACTGGGAAGAATTGATGTATACACAAGTCTGTGGTCACTTCTCTTCCTCACCATGCTTACAGTTACCTAACTCAAAAAGATATACATCAGTTGACATAAATGTTAACTCTATGATTTAAAATGCTTTTTTTATGTATGGGGGACAATATGTAAGTTTGGGGAGAAGTTAACACTTTCAAAGAAAATAATAGAACCTTCACAGTTTTGCTGTTATTATTGCTTTTGGGGGGAGGGAGATGCTTGAACTCAAGGTCTGGACATGGTCTGTTAGTTTTGTCCCTCAAGGCTGGCACTCTACCTCTTGAGCCACAGCTCCACTTTGAACTTTTGGTAGTTAATTGGGCCTTAAAGTCTTATGAACTTACCTGCCCAGACAGGATTTGAACTGAGGTCCTCAGATTTCAGCTTCCTGAACAGGTAAAAGCCACTGACATCTAGTTTACAACAGATTTTAAGATGATGAATCTTACACAACTTGTAAGAGCATCAGCATAATAGTTGTTACCCTTGGAACAATTGAAATGCAACAGTGATTCCAATGACAAATCAGAATCTTTATTATCTTTTTCTTCTTTTTAAATATCAGAGCAGAATACAAAGCGGAGAAACTTCCCTCCCATTCCTTTGAGGTTGACCACGAAGATGCTGATAAGGATGAAGTAAGTGGATTGCTGCATATACAATGTTTAACCCTGAGGATCCTTAGTTCCAGTCTGGAGCTGGAGATTACCCATTCTGCCCAGTGATTCCTCAGCAGCAGTGATTCCTCCTCTGTTTCGTGGGGGCTTTTAAGCAAAGTGAATCCTATTTGTTGTGACACTGAACATAACTATTGCAGATGAGTCAAAGGGAAGGAAAGGATTTTAAGTGCAGTGTCTAGAATCTGGGATGTGTGGAGTTGACTGCCATACTAATGATGTCTTTTGTGCAGGATACTACTTCCCACTCATCGTCTAAGGGCGGTGGCGGAGCCGGGGGGACGGGTGTGTTCAAGTCTGGCTGGCTCTACAAGGGGAATTTTAACAGCACAGTGAACAATACCGTCACTGTCCGGGTAAGGACACCTCAAGACTAATCATCCCTCTTGTCTCTTTCTTCCTGTCGCAGCACAAAGGACAGTCACTTGCAATGAGTTTATGATCCCTGTCGTATTTTATTTATGAAGAACTATGAATGTTCTTTCTGCACAACATTGCCTTGCTAAAGGAATTTGCAGAATACTAATTTCCATGAGTAACCAGCATACTGCAACTTGACATCTCCCTTCTATCTTCTTTTCCTTTCTTTTAGTCATTCAAGAAGCGCTATTTCCAGCTGACTCAGTTACCAGATAGCTCCTACATTATGAACTTTTACAAGGATGAAAAAATATCCAAAGAACCAAAAGGCTGCATTTTTTTGGATTCCTGCACAGGTGTGGTGCAGGTGAGTAGAAATTCCTTTTCCCCCACTCTTTCCTCTTTTTCCATTTCAAAGTATATTCAGCAAATATTTATGAGCAATCTTCCTAAGTCAAGGAGTATTAGACATTGTGGGGGCTCAGCGAAGAACATGCACCCTTGATATATTTACTGAAGAAGGAAAATGACCACGGGTGTGTTTACTGTGTACAAGCCCACTAAGCTACAAAAATTCAGAAAGGTTATGCAATTCACATCATTCAAGGTGTGAACTCTAAAATGTTGTCTTTATCACGAGGTAATGAGAAGGTAGTAACTTAACAGTGTGCATACATTACATATCACTTTCTTCAAAGAGGAGGTCTTTTGCAAAGAGTTTTACACTGATTTCCAAAAGTTTTGTATCACAAGTGGACATAGCACTTTTAATAGGAAATGATATTCTGGAAGTTCTTCCTATTTAAACAGTTGTCCTAACTGCTGTGGCACAGGGAAACAGAATGATTCCATAGCCCTCCCCCTTTTCACAGACACTAGATGTATGTGCTTCCGTTCAAAATATTTATTTCTTTGATTCTGCTGGAGTTTCCCTCATTCATTCTTTCTCTTTTTTTTCTTTTTTTAGTCAGTTGTGGGGCTAGCACTCTGGGCCTGGGCAATGTCCCTGAGCTTTTCAGCTCAAGGCGAGTGCTCTACCATTTGAGCCACAGTGCCACTTTCAGTTTTCTGGTTATTAATTGAAGAGTCTCATGGACTTTCCTGCCCAGTCTGGATTTGAACTGTGATCCTCAGATCTCAGCCTCCTGAGCTGCTAGGATCACAGGTGTGAGCCACCAGTGCCCTGCTATCCCTCATTATTTCTTATTGTGTAAATACTGAAGCAAATAGCAATCTCTCATCAAATTTCACCAGACTCTGGCTCCTTGAGGATAAGGATTTTGTTTCCAGCCCAAAGAACTGTCTGTATTTTCTATGATCAGCGAGTCCCGTACTACATAGTTTGTTATGTCACAGCTGAGTTTATATCTTGAACTTTTATTGTGGGGCCCTTAGATATGTAGATGCAAAACTGATTTCTCTCCATTCTCTTAGTTCTGTCCTATTTCTGGACAGTTCATCTGTTAAAATCTGGAATGCCTTCCAGAAAGTAATAAGGCTGAACTTTAAAAGGGAAGAATTAATTATGTGTTGCTGAGTACTCTGCTAGAAGCAAAAGCTAATTGCTTTTTAATGCAGACTCTAGCTCTCTATATGGAAAGGGCAATAAGGATCTTTGAAAGTATTTTCTTTCCCAACTATACTTAAAAAGTTTGCTCTGGTGAGCAAGTTGACTTTTTTATTTTTACTTATTTTTTTATTGTGAAAATACCATACAGAGGGATTACAATTACATGGGCAAGGTAATGAGTGCATGTCTTATTAAGCATTGTTGCCTCCTCCTTTGTTTCTCCTTACCATCCCTTCCCATCTCACGCCCACCCCCCACCCCCCACACCAAAGTTGTAAAGTTCATTTTTGATATAACATCTTGTACATCTCATTGTTGCAATGGGCCCACCTGTATCCCTAGTTAAACAATTTGTTTTTTCTCTTCCACTCCACAAATTATACCAACATCAAATACAGTGAAAATAGGGGTTATACCGTGGGGGAGGGACACACAAAGCAACAAAGAAATATCTTATAAATATGTTAGACACAATAGCAAGACAGAAAAAACAGTTGAGTCCTTAACTTGGGATTCATTTAACATCAACTTACCTGACAGTTTCTGCTTGTCTCAGACATATACTAGTTCTTGCCAATAAGGGAGACCATGGGACCTATGTTTCTTTGGGCCTGGCTTACTTCACTTAATAGAATTTTTTCCCAAGTCTTTCCATTTCCTAAGGAATGGGGCAATGTCATTCTTTCTGATGGAGGCATAGAATTCCATTGTGTATATATACCACATTTTCTGGATCCATTCATCTCCTGAGGGGCATCTGGGTTGGTTCCAGATCTTAGCTATGGTAAATAATGCTGCAATAAACATAGTTGTGCTGTTAGCTTTAGTATGGTCTTGTTTGGGATCATTTGGGTAAATACCCAAAAGTGCATTGCTGGGTCAAAAGTGGGGAGCTCTATGTGGAGTCTTTTGAGGAACCTCCATACTGCTTTCCAAAGTAGTTGAACAAGTTTACACTCCCACCAACAATGCAGTAGGGTTCCCTTCTGTCCACATTCCCTCCAGCACCTGTTGTTATCAGAGTTCTTGATTTTAGCCATTCTAACTGGGGTGAGGAGGTATCTCAGTGTTGTTTTGATTTGCATTTCTTTTATGGCTAGGCAGGTTGAGCATTTCTTCATGTGTCTATTGGCCATCCTTCTTTCCTCTTCAGAGAAGTTTCTCCTTAAGTCTTTAGCCCACTTATTTATCGGGTAGTTGTTTCTTTGAGAATTTGTTGTTGGGGGATTTAATTTTTTGAGTTCCAGGTATATTTTAGATATGAGACCCTTGTCTGTTGTATGACTGGTCAAAGGGGATGACCATCCCCGATAGAGGAGTACCAGTCTTTGGTCAAGGGTTTACGAATAGCTGCGCTCCTCTGCTAGAACCTCCAAACAAGCTCTCAAGTTGACTTTTTTTTTAAATAAAAGTGACATTATATAGTAAGTTATATAGTAAGTTTCAGAAGTGCAGTTTATTGTATGTAATGTCTCTCCACCTGAAAGGGTCATAGAACACAGTGTTGGACCCACAACTTAGGGCTTTCGTCTCCCTTTCTACTCCAGATATCTCTTCTCCCTCATATCTTACCTAGACTGTGTTGCAATCCCTGTGTTAGAAAGCCTCTTGTTGGAGGAAACACAAGCCGGTCAATGTGCAAGTCATAGTTTGCCCACTAACTACCTGAAGACACTGATCTCGGATTTCTCATCCATAAAGCCAAAGTAAATGTGAAAACATTGCCAAAATATCTGGGGGACAGAAAGTCTTCCACCTTTCTTTCTTAATGGTTGCATCACTCACAAAGTTTACAACTTTGGAGGAAACACATTCCAATGTGGGAAAGCCTCTTAGTAAATATTGATTTACCTTCCTGAAATTTCTACCTGAGTGTGCTGGTTAGTCAATTTCCTTATCTGTTCATTAATTAAGTCATCCATTCAACAGGTTTATTTAGGACCTGTAATATGCTAGAAATACTGATTTTGCACAAGGCATTCAATTCCGCGCCAACTCACAATCAGAGAGGGTCATAATGGCTGCATGCTCACTTTTGCTCAGTCTCACAAGAGCAATAATAGTGATACGAATGGCAGAATCCATGGGATGTTCTAGGAGCATAAGACAATGAACTCTTCTAGGTCTGGCTGCCAGTTTACACAGCAAAGCTGGGTCTATAGGATTTGCCAAGATGAATTTTACATATTTGCCTTTAACGTGTTCCTCTAGGCTCTACATGTATGTTCATGTTTACCAATAACATATGGACATCATTGGGAACCTCCGATGACTTCTGGGAGACAGAGATTGATGTGTCATCACTTTGTGTGTGGGCTTCAGTTTTTACATTACAGCTCTTTTTGGCTTACAAATGTTTACAGCTGGGAAGGTTTCAAGCAAGATAGTGGAAGGCCTAACCATGGCACTAGTACACTCTTAGGCACACAGTGTGCGTGGAGATGAATCACAGGCACACAAAAGCACAGAACAAAAGAATAAGTAGAATGAGTCAGATCTCTTTAGTCCAGAATCATTGCCAGTTTCACTTGAATTAACCCCCACCAAAAAAAGGAGGAACAAAGCTTTCTTCCTCAAAAAGTGTTACCTAGCACTGGACATTCTTAGGGAGCTCAAGTTCATAGCAGGCTTTAGTGAATATACCATTTTAGTTTGCCTCATTCAGACTCAGTCTATACTACTATATTTTCCCAAGAACAATTCTTTTAATTCTTAGCTATACATTACAAGGGAGACCTTGAAGCAGAGAGAAACCCCAACTTCACTTTCTCAAAGACTTTAAATGATTTTCTGGTTAGCTTCAATCATCAATTAATAAACAAAGCAAAAACATTAATTTCAGCTTTCTACTTTTTTTTAAATATCATCAAAATGCCTTAGGCTGGCTCTGTCTGGAAGAGACTACTCTTAGTTTTGCTGCTTCCATTTTTGCCCTGAGACTAAGGAATATTTACAGCTCTGTTAGCTCATCTCGTTCCTTCAGAGTTTTTATTTATTCATTCTTCAGTCTCCCATTTATCCATTTCTTTCTCACCCATCCATGCTTACATATCAAATCCTGGTCCTGTAGAAGAGAATGAATGGCCCAAAAATTCATGAATGGTCCCTTCCTCAACAGTGATAATGGGTGATATTACTAGGTTCTGAATCTGCCACCCTGGAGTCCAAGAAAATGACCTCATGGGTCTAACCAAAAGCTAAACATGGAGGTCAGGAAGGAACTGGGCCCAGGTTGAGATGCAGGATCACCTTGCATTGTTCATTCCTAAAGATAGTCACCCTAAGGGAGGAGCAGTGAGATCCTGAAAGAAAACACATCTAGAAACCATAGCTATAGTGTTCTGTCTCCTTAACACGTAGAATGGTACCTGTAGTGTTCTTCATCTCATGAGTTATCTGATGGCAGTTGGTACAATTTATATTACTATTCTCCATGTTTATTAAAATAAAACAGAGAGATAACATGATTGTATTAAGTCACAAAGCTAATAAATAGCAACATTAGATTTGAGATAGATAAATGTCTGAGAGCACAGAAAGATGCCTGCAGAGATGTGGCCTTTATCACAAAGTGAGCATGCCCAGATAAATGTACATTTATCCTACATAAGCTGTATGGGCATAAACACCACTGCATGTATGGCTTTAAGCAATGAGTATTAGATATTGCATTCCTGTGAGCAAATACAGTTAAGAAAGCTAGTACATGCCAGAATTGTGGAAATAGACTTTTAGAAAATAGTTTGACTCCTGTCTTAAAAGAGTTCCCAGCCTATGGGAAGGTTACCCAGGCAAAAAAGGAAAAAAGTGGTGTGTGCAAATAAGACATGAATGGCATATCTCAAAGAGTAAGTCCTGATAAACAATGCCAGAATAAAATTATGTTTACCACTAGATGATGCCATATTTATTATAGTATATTTATATTGCACTAATTATATTGTATTACACACATATCATTCAGATAGGTTATATTTAAGGTGATTTGCTTGCTGGCCCTCTATTGAGTTAAAATGTAAACTTAACCATGGGAAGAACTTTGCTTGGATTTCTTTCAGTGCTGTGTGACTGGCATAAAGGAGTTATCTGATCTATTTTATTGCATGAAAGAGCACATAGGTCCTCAGATAGTGGGACAAGTGGCATGGATGACATCAACACCAATAACCTGAATTCGATATGGTATATTTCCTTTTATAGGTCTTCTTTTATTCCTGCAAAAAAAAATGTAAATGATGCTAGCAGCGTCATAGGCCTAATGGAATATTTTGTCTGGGTAACTTCCCTCTTCAGTGTTCAGTCTCCTGGCTTAGTGGTTTTCTTAGAGTGTGTATAATTTGAGATGTTTCCAGATGAGCAGAACATTGTGGAAGCAGACTTGTTTGCCATAATGCATTAAATGCTTTATAAGACAATAAAACATTTTCAATTTTCTGTTATTGATGAAACCACACAGATGACCTTGGAAATCACAGAGATGACCTTGGTGAGCTTCACTGAGCAGAGTGGTTGTGAGGTCTTCAAAGAACTCACTTTTAATGGAACAGAAGAAATGTGGGAATCAGGTTATGATTACTTCTTGCTTACCATTCCTGCGACAACACCTGCACTTGAATATTATTAGAACGTCGTCTTGGTTTTCTATTTTTGTCTTTCCTTTTTTGTTGTCTGTATGCTATTATCTTTGAGATTACCAAGATTGAGATAGAAAAGCCCTCACGCATCCTAATCATTACCAGCATAAGCTTCTCAACGCTGCAAGTGGTTCAATTTCTCTCAAAGAAATGGAAAATACTTCAGCTTGGAGAAATTGCAAGTCAGATATCTATTTCATCTCTAAATGCCCTCTTTTGAGAAACAAAACTTGTTATACTTTGCTCTGGTTTTTAAGAGTATTTTAATAATGCTATCAAAGTTGGGGACAATGTTTAAATCTTTGAGGTACACAATGCAATTTAGAAAATCAATTTTTATCTACATGCTGTTGTGTTTCATTTCTACTTGGCATCTGCCTTTGAAGTCACGTTGCCTCGACCCATTTTTAACTTTGGCCTATTGGAAACAAATTGTGGATCTTTCCATCTGCTGCTCCACTCATTTACAACCTCAAATTAGTCAAATATAGTCTTTCATGTTTATTTCCAAGACAACACTAATGATTCGCTTACATTCAGATATTTGGCAATACCCTCATGGTTGGTCCATTTCTGGTTGTTTTCTTGAGTATCTACTTCCATTCCTATTGTTTTATGAAGGAAATAGCACCTTAATAGAAATCCCTTAGACTTAGCCTATCAGTAAATGCCACAGGCAATTTTATAGACTACCCTCATCAGAATCTTCCTGGAGAGAGGAGGGCACCTAAGATTTACCTTCCAAAACTAGCTGCCTAGATATTCTCTTTGCACAATGAGTATCAGGCTACTTACTGCCTTTTAGGTTTCTCCTCACCCCTGTTCCCACTGAAGCAGAAATGATCTGCTCAAAGTACAACTCTTGACTTTCCCCTTAGCTTTGTCCAAATCATTCTTTCCTATGCTCACAGAGGCCAGTGTTCTCATCTAAACATGCATATACAATTTACACTTATTTGTAGGATTTATTGGTTAATGTCTGTCTCCCTTATTCTGCAAGGGGAGAAATTAAATGTATTTCTGCCTACTAGAAATCACCAATTTGACAGGCCCCTCTTTTATGGGTGACAGACCCTCTTCTATGGGAGTACTATCACTGCAGTAAGCATTGGGGATAAACATCATCTGCCCATATGATGCTTGTGAACTTCATTCCTTGAATGACTCATTGCAGAGCAAAGAATTCTTGGAAGACTCTACAGAGTGATGTTTGAACTGTGAAGTTCCACCATGATAGCCATAATCAACTTTTCCACTGACTAATTGTTCATTCTGCCTCAATTTCTTTTTCTTCTTCTTTTCCCTCTTTGCCATGAATACAACTACAGTTGGTCCATATCTTCCTCTCCTTCCAATGTTCTTCTCAGTCATTAAACTGTCTACTCCTTTTTACAGATTTCAACTTAGATATTCACCTATGGGAAAGGCCTGCTATGAACACAAACCTAAAGTATCTGCTTATGCCATTGGTCCATGTTGATCCAACATAGGGCCAAGGATTTCTGGTTTTTCATTTATCTGCTTGACCATGCTTTCGAACTTGTATTTACCCACTATTTCCCTGCTAGAATAAGAACATATTCTGTTACACTCATAAAAATATGACTATTTTCAACCTTGTTGTTAAGCCTTCTGTATATTAGCTATCTTAGGAGATCCAATAGTGAACAAAACTGGCCCAAACCTCATGGACAGAGATTTGAAGGAGAGGTGTATTTGTCAAAGCAAGCAAAGACAAATGAATGGCCTATAATTGCATATTAGATGCCATGTTCTGAGGACAAGAGCCTTTGTCCTCATGTCCTAGGCTGGGGATTAACATAGATTTTTTTTTTCAGGTGAGGTTTGAAGTATGAATACGAGTGAATAACCACATGAGGGATAAACCCTGTGGTCTCTAAGTTTGGGTGAATATGCATAGAATGAAGGGCACCCATTTTAGGACAGGCAGCAAGAAAGATGACAAGGAACTAGAGCAAGACCTCTTGGGTTGGTTGACAAATGCAAGGAAGAGAAGTCACACGAGAAAAGTCTGACGGTTGATGGAGAATCCAGAGCTTCAGCTGGTATTGGGATATTATTGCACCTTGGTGCCCTGTGAGCCACAGGACAAAATAAGAAAAGAGCCTCAGGTAGAGCCAGGATTATTGTTAGAAGTGATCAAGTGAAGGAAGAGCCACCAATGGAAACTGAAAAGTAGTGGAAATCAATTCATGGGGGGGGGGGGGAAACACACCAGAATAGAGTGTGATATGCAGATTAGGGAAATAAGAGTTTCAAGGAGGAGGAGATGCCTCCCCCATATTAATTCTGCTGAAAGGCCAAGGAAGACACAGAGAGGAATATCGCTTGAACACTAAAGCAGCAAAGACCCTGGTAGGGACCGGAACAAGTGCTTCCTCTGGAGCAAAAGGCCTTAGAAGCCCGACTGCAGAGAACCACAGGCTGAACACTAGGCAAGAAGACCAAGGCATGACTTGAAGAAGGTTGGAATACACGCACATTTGTGCCTGGAGAAGGAATTTGTAAGCCAACGCACCCAGGCCATCAACAAAATGCCAGCACACAGTATTTCTTAGGACAAACAGTGTTGAAAGAAACCAAGCAAAATGAGTACCACTCCCATAAAGTGTTGTCCTGTTCTGGAAAGTCTCCTTTATCCTTTATGTTGCCTACTTGTGTGAAATACGTCAGTCCCAATCCCACCTAAAATGTCTCTCGTGCTCTAAGGTTTCCTGTTTCGTCTCCCTTTCTTTTCTTTTTTCTATACCACAGAACAACAGGCTAAGGAAGTACGCCTTTGAACTGAAGATGCACGACCTGACTTACTTTGTGCTGGCAGCTGAGACGGAGTCGGATATGGACGAGTGGATCCACACTCTGAACCGCATCCTACAGATCAGTCCTGAGGGCCCAATGCAGGGGAGAAGGAGCACAGAGCTCGCCGACCTGGGGCTGGGTGAGAGTTCCAGGAGCCATCTGGGCTTGGCCGTGTGTGGCCTGCACTTTGGGGTCAGTTAAGCTGCTCACTGATATGTCCGGCTCATCATACATCCTTGAGCTGTTGGCTCACGGAACCACCCTAAATCATTACCTTTAGAGAGTAGTGGCGGATGAGTGGACTTCGGTATAACTGTGGGTTGAATGACAGTGATATGAGGTTGTTATTCAACAAATGATTTTGGAAATCGCCTGTCAGCGTCATCAAAAATGTAGCCACGTCTTGATGGGAAGTAAGTTATCTTGCAGGGAGAGTGTGTGGGCTCTTGCTTTTTAATTACATTTCTTTTATCTTTGTCCTGATTTGACTTATTTCATTTTAATTTTTAAACATAGTGATACTGTTTTAATTCTTCAACCTTTAAAGAAATTATCTTTAAGTAGTTGTATAAAGGGGTTTTAGTTCGATACGTCAGGTTATGAATACAATGCCTCTTGATCAACCTTTTTTTATCAGTCTTCCCCCTCTCTCTCAATCCCACCCATCCCCTCAATTGTCACAGCCTCAGTTTCACATACAGGGCTATTTTGACTGCATTCTCCTACCTTTCTTCTCTTCACCCATCTATCCCCTACCCCTGGGCCTCGTTCCTCCCCCTGAATCACTACATTTAACTAATGGATCATAGACTCTATAAAGGAGAATATACAGTGCTTCATCTTAGAAAGGCATCATGCCTTTGTACTTTTGGGCCATCCTAAGATGCACTTCTTCATGAAGTGTGTGTAATATTTTCTTAAGATTACTTTTAGAAAGATTTTTTTTCTACCTAGTGGCCTTCTAAGATTCTAGTTCATGCCAGCAAAGAAAATGGGATAAGAAAGAGGAAAGGAAGGGTGACAGGGCTTCATCCCAACTCACAGCTCGGTGAAGGCCAAGTTCTCTGGCGGCGGGAGTCAGTCACCACTGCCAAGGGAAAAGCAGCTCTAGACCTTTTGCACAGCACTCCCTGGCACTGTGGTACATTAGGAACCAAAGTCTGTTGAAGCTGTAGTCCTCTAAGGACTGTGTGCTATAAAGTAGGACGACAAAGGAGAAAACTGTTGTAGATTCTAATACGAGTACTATTTGTTATCATCAATATTTTGCATTCATGTATGATGTACTTAGTGTTAATCATCTAGCATATGCATGTTTGAAAGGTCCTGCAGAATTTTAGTAAATGAAGCTAGAAAATAGGTTTTAAACAGACATCATAAGGGTTATCACAAATATGTATATATTAACTCTATGTATATAAAACTCTACTGCCTATGACTGAAGTGAGTCAACCCTACGTGAATGTGTAGTATGGTAAAGATTCAACGCTCTTGTCACCATGCGATGGTATCATTGTAAAGATCAGATGCTTGCCAGGAGGTCTTTTTTATGTAGGAGAGAGAACAAAAAGGTGTAGGCTCAACATCCCTCTGAGCTCTTGAGTCTAACCTATTTGAGATTACCAGAGGCTAGAAAAGTCTCTGAACAAATCTGGGCAGAGTGAAGCATGCTTATAATCCCACCTACTTGGGAGGTAGAGGTCAGGAGGATCATAGTTTGAGGCCAGCCTGGAAAGAAAATGTGAGGGAGACGCTGGTCTCAACCAGCAAGCCAGGATCTGTAATGTCAGCTGTGCAGGAGCCATAGGTGGGAGAAGAGCAATCTGAGGCTACCCCAGGGAAAAATTAGACTTTGGAAAACCAAGCAAAAATACTGGCTCAAGTAGAGAGTTCTTGACTAGCAAGCATGAGGCGCTGAGTTCAGACCCCAATACCGCAGAACAGAACAGAACTTAATTATCTGTCTTGATCTGTCTTTTCAAGATCCACTGCATAATTCTGTGACTTGTGAATGCACGCTGGAGGAGACGGATTCTTCAGAGAACAGCCTACACCCAGACTTTGCCAAAGTAATAAAGTTGACATTCTATTTGCAAATAAATCGGAGCTACTTATTACTTACCAACTTTCAGAGCGAAGATGGAATGCTTTCGTTTCAGAAGTAGACTAGAGTCCTTCATAAATTTCCATTAACCTAGGCATTTCGCTTAATGAGCACAAGGCATTGGGAAGTTGGAGCATAGATTTCCAACATTTACCAGGTGTTAATCGATAAGCTTTAAATGGTAGGAGCTGCTTCTTGGTGGTGTGGACAGGGCTGGGCTACAGACTGAGATTAACCTGGCTTTCTCTGCAGTACCTCACAGAAACAGAAGACAGTGTTAAGACAACGCGAAACATGGAGAGGCTGAATCTGTTCCTGCTAGACCCAGATATAGATGTAAGTCAGAATTCCTTCTGAGCAGATAGAAACTAGACCCCTTACAACCAAGGTTTCCTATGTGGAATTTCTTTTTCACCACGAGAGTTTTGATGACTAAAACTTTTACACACTTGGCTTTTGGGTTGTTTTTTTTTTTTAGACCCTGAAACTTCAGAAAAAGGATGTTTTAGAACCTGAGTTTGTGATCAAACCCTTTGAAGAGAAAGCAGCAAAGAGAATTATGATCATTTGTAAAGCTCTCAACTTTAATCTTCAGGGATGTGTTACGGAGAATGAAAGTGATCCCATAACAAACGTGAGTTTCTCATTTGATGACACTCCCACATACAGCCCCCAATCACACCATCACCTTCAAAAACCTTTTCTACAAGCCTGGCACCTGTGGCTTATTCCTACCTGTAACCCCAGCTACTCAGGAGACTGTTCTCTCCAATTAACCACAAAAAGCCAGAAGTAGAGCTGTGGCGCAAGTGGTAGAGTGCCAAGCTTGCGCACAGAAGCTCAGGGAATGGTGCACAGGCCATGAGTTCAAGCCCCAAGACAAGAAAACAAAACAAAATGACCTATTCTGTTCCTACTCATTCCAAATGCACCATGAAATGTACTTAACTACATTTTTCCACATTGCAAAAGCCACAGGTTCTGAACTAAGTCTGTCCACATGCAACCAGAAAAGTCGCATTAAAAGACAGTGTTCTAAATTCTCTTCATGACATTAGCACAATTAACTCAGTACTCAAATTGGCTTTTTTTTTCCACGCCAGCCCTGGGGCCTGAACTCAGGGCCTGGCACTGTCCCTGAGCTTTTTTTTTTTTTTCAAGTTAGCACTCTAACACTTGAACTACAGCTCTACGTTTAGCTTTTCTTAGTGATTAATTGGAGATGAAAGTTGGTTGTGGGGCTTGAACTCTGGGCCTGGCACTGTCCCTGAGCTCTTCAATCCAAGGCAAGTACTCTACCACTTGAGCCACAGCGCCACTTCCGATTTTCTGGTGGTTCATTGGAGATAAGAGTCCACAGACTTTCCTGCCCAGGCTGGCTTTGAACCGCCATCCTCAGATCTCAGTGTCGGGAGTAGGATTACAGGTGTGAGCCACCAACATCCAGCTGATCAAGATGTTTTGTACTCACAAACTGACCTGTTGAATTAAAACCCCTTTGTTCAACCACTTAAAGATAATTTTTAAAAAATCAGTAAATCAGAGTGTCTTAAAGTATACAGTCCTGTGCAGAAGCTGACTTTTTGTATTTGAGTAGGTCTCACCTATCAAAAATAGGTTCAGAAAACACAGGGTTATTGTTCTTTTACATACCTGTTCATCCAGGTATGTTCATCATACCTGTTCATCATACCTGTTAAGTTGGAGTGTTTGTGTTGTTTTTCATTTATTTTACAATGCATTAAAAATAATTCCATTGTACCTACAAAAAATATTACAGAAATTTGTGAGTTTCACCTTAATAGACATTTATCATTTCATAATACTGTTTTGTAAACCTTTGCACATTTATTCAGTGACATTTTTAGCTCCTTGCTCTTAATTTAATGAGCATGTTTAAAGTAGTGGAATTTTTTTTCCAAGTTACTGAAGACCCAACCACTATGTTTAATAAAAGAGCATCTAAAGACCTGGAAAAACTATTCCATGATAAGAAATAGCCATTGACAGCATGTAAATTTTAGTCCTCACATTGAGGAATATATTCAAGTTGATGGACTTACATTTAAAATACTTCCTTGAAAATAAGAATTCATTTAAAAAATCCATACTAATAAAATTGCCTCATGATAAAGCTACATTTTGATTTTTATGTTCTTGAATTTTTAAGAATGCAGAATTCTAAACCTAGGAAATGAGGGTTTTATTTGTTAGCTTTTGAAAGAGCTTTGTTAAGTAAATCCATATTGAAAAGGTAACAATTCAAAAAGTAAGAGTTGACATTTAAATTGAAAAGATGGATTGAGGGAAATAAATGAATCACGGTATGAGCTTTAATTTCAGCTGGGTTATCAAATAGGTAATGCATTACCATTCACTAAACAGAAAGGAAAACTAAAATACAACAATTCAGGAAAACAAAACTAAAGATTTTATTATTTGACCTTCAAAGTGTTTTGAGTTCCTGAGTTATGTTCTTTTTAACATTTTTTTTCATTTTTCAACTCTTAGCTGACGAAAGCTACCACAAACCAGAGTTTTTATTAAAGTAAACTGATAAAATATAAACTTTTACTTTGTAATGACCATACTAAAAATAATTTATTACCTGACCACATGCCTATAATTAATGGCTCGTGCCTATGATCCTAGCTCCTGGTAGTCTAGAACAGGAGGCTCAAGTTTGAGGTTACACTGGACAGAAAACTTCAGCCAACCCTTTCCCAGCCCATAGCTGTGTGTGATGGTATGCCCCTGTCATCCTAACTTGATGGAAAGCTGAGAAGGGAGGATCATGGTTCCAGGACAATCTAGGCAGAAAAGCCATACTCTGTCTCAATAGAAGGAATTGGACACAGTAGCACATGCCTGTCATCCTAGCTACTATAGGAAGCCTAAAATAAGTGAATTGTTTTCCGTGCATAGGCCTGGGCAGGAAGTGAGATTCTAGCTCAAAAATAACTAGCACAAGTAAGAGGCTGAAGAATGACTGATTGGTAGAGTACTTGCCCAGCAAGCCCAAGATTCTGATTCCAAACACCACTACTGCCAAAAGAATAATATTTGAATTGTATTTTATATATGGAATTCTAATAGTAAGAGAGCTGGTGAGTATTCATATCATTAAGGAATAGAACATGTACCTCTGTTATCACCTAGTCCTATTTCTACATTTCAAAGGTTAGAAGTCATTCCTTAAGCATTTAATAAAAGCCTCAACATGAGTGAGCCTGTGCAACAATGAGCCATAGTATGAGCAAGACTTTTTTCATAACCCTGCTTGCTGACAGGACACTGGCATCCTCTCAGAATTAAATGACATAAAATGAAAGTGCCGCTAGTTAATTACATAGCTATGTAATTATGTATATGTTTATATATAGGCTTATAGGTGTTTACATATAGCTCATAATTAATATGTGTCATTTCTTTCAATTTAACTTAATCTCCACTATATTTAGCAGTTTTTTCTATTTTCTATTTTTATTTAAGTAGTCATACGAAGGAGTTTATGAATGTAATTTGTCTTGATCAATTTCACTGCTCTCAACATTGTCACCTGTCCCTCCCAACCAGTTCTTAATCTTGTAGGATATACAATCAATATTTGACCGCATTCCCACCTTTTGGTCTTCATTCATCTTCCCCTCTCTCCTTGATCACACCCCACTCCTTTCAAATTCCCATTTCCTGGTGTTTATTTTATTGAACGATGATTTAGCCTTTCTAAAGAATTCTACTGTTTTGAGTTCTCCCCGGAATTCACTGTATTTCAGTTAATACATTTGCGTTCAATTGCATACCCCCCCAGTGTTTACTTATATATTTATAAATTAATTCTGGCTTCCACATATGAAAGAAAACATGCAACCCTTGTCTCTCTGAGCCTGACTTACTTCTCTTACTATGATTTTCCCCAGGTCCTTCCATTTCTTTTCAAATAATGCAATATGCTTCTTTCTAATGAATGAATTCCATTGTGTATAATGAATCTTATTTCCTGTGACACTCTAAAAACATTTAATAGTTTTTATTTTTAGAAACTTCTTTTCAGAGTTGAGGATGTAGCTCAGTGATAGAGTACTTGCATAGTGTGTCTGAGGTGCTATGTTTGATTTACAAGGCTGCAAAAATCGAAATATAATTAAATTCTCCAATAATAAATATCTCTCTACTTCTTAATCCCTTTTCTTCTTAGTTTATTTTTAAAATTTAATATGTTACTCAATGCCTTTTTTTGTTTTTTTATTGTAAAGGTGATATACAGAGGGGTTACAGTTTCATAGATCAGGTAATGAGTACATTTCTTTCTGAACCATGTCACCTCTTCCCTCGTTTTCTCCCAGTTTTTCCCCCCTGACTTCCCTTCCATCACAAGTTGTATGGTCCATTTTCAACATAGTGTCTAGTGAGTATCACTGCCGCATTAGTTCTCCTAATCTCTTAAGTAGGTGCTTTCCCACTGATGCTATGTATCTCTTTTGTGTGTTGGGATCTCCTGGGACTTCCTATTCTGACTCTCTTAGTGCCATGACTTAAACAAAATCCCCAGGTTGAGGTCTACAGCCCAAATTCATTGATTAGACTAAAAACTCATGTATCTACCGCCACTAGGATTTTTACAGATGACTTGTACGTCCCATTCAGAATTCCTCTTTGTATCTTTATTCCTTGTATCCATAGATATTATTCTCAATTTAGGTCCATATGGTCACAAATGTGGGGATTTTCTTTCTTCATGAGCCAATGTTCACCCTTTTTGCCGTGAACCAACACACACATGCAGTGGATTTCAAACCCCTTGACTGTACTTCCTTAATATTTCTCAACTTAACCACGATTTTGTTCTACTGTAATCTCGCTCTAGTATTCTTTTCTTGTGTATTTTCATATTATTTTCTTTGCATAGGTCTCTCATCCTAGTAAGTTCCTTTTTCATTAACTCTACTCAATCCCTAATTCTTTAAAACTCAACTAATAATTTCCTGTGTTTCTTCATTACTTTACCCATTTTTTCTTAATTTCCCATCTTCTACTTTCTTTCTGGAATCTGGACAAGAGCTTAAGGGGGAATCACAAAAAGTTCTGGACCTGGGCAAAAATTCAAGAACTCTGGATGGTGAAGAGAAAGAATTCACACACAGGCTTGGGTCTAGAGACATGTCCAGATAGGTGTACAGAGTAGGACAGAGAAGGTAGTTGAAAAGAGAATGGTCACTTTGAACCAATGGGTAAATGAATTGAACAAATAAGTAAATACATTCATGGTAATGAAATCCAGCTATCTCATGTGAAAAGACATCTTTTCTGACAAGAAAAACAGAGAGATTAAAAGAAATCTTTCATTGTCTAGATTGGAAATGAAATTCTTAGCATGAACACACTGATTTTTAGGAAACATTATATAGAGAGAGAAAGAGATAATTGAAAGTATATTTTAGTATTTTGTGTGTGTGTGTGTGTGTGTGTGTGTGTGTGTGTGTGTGTGTGAAAGAGTAAGAAAGTAAGATCAGAAACCGCAGAAACAAATAATGTCTCAGTAACAGTGATCACAAAATCAGGCTTTCGATTTCTAAATGTTACCTTCACTAAAATGAATCAGAGGTTTCTAAAGAACTATCTGGTGCATGGGAAGCATAAATTGAACTTCAAATATATTGTTGGATAAAGAAAATGATGACCTCCCAAAAACACTTAAGAGCTACTTTGAAAGAATGCCTCAAATCTAGGACAATTTGAGCATCACCACAAATAAGAAGAAATTGGTACTTCTCCATATATAATCTAGAATAGATTAATTATATTTAGCAGTGAGTGACTATTTTGTGTAAATGGTTAAATGAATGAATTAACGGAGAAGTGGAATGATCATCTTTACACTGGAATATTAACTAATCTATGTAGCCAAATGATGGAAATAGGTAATCTCATTAATAACCAATGTAGTGGTTGTTGATTCTAGTGGGCATTATCAATGAACTAATTGCACTAAGTTGGATGAGTAGCAAGACATTGGGAGTCGTTTCAGAATACATTTTCACAAATTCTGATCAACTATCAAAGAGAAAATGATAGGTTCACAATTAAGAAAACTAGCTACACCAATATGACCATATGAAGGTTACCTTTAGAAGTGTTCAGAGTTGAGATATATTGAGTGTGCTCTTGACTCAGTCTACTTCATAATTATTTGAAAATAAAGAAAAAGTATATGTTTTTAAAAACTCAAATGGGACATCAACTCTTCTTAGGAAACTTCCTACCCTCTCTGCCTTTCTACACAACTTGATGCTCAACTAGTTAACACACTATGCTTTCAGATGTATTTTGTTCACATAATGTATTAAAATACTTAATATAGCACAAGCATAAAGTAAATGCTCAACAAATGTTAGCTCTTATGATTCCATCAAGTTATGATCATTTTTAACTGCAGAAATTATTGTACAAGTGAAGTATTTCTCAGTGCAGTCTAGAATTCCATTCCAAACTTCCCAGAGCCTGGGGAGAATGAGATGACACATTTTCTCAGAGCATCAAAGAAATAACTAAAATGGTTTGCAAGCCAATCCATGGATGGGAATACTTTGATGAGAAAAATAGTGAAGAAGTAAATGAAATACATCCCTGGGGTGTGAGGCATCTGCTGGGGGAAAGAGTTTTGGTCTTGTTCACTGAGTACAGAGGAGCTTGCTTTCTGCATGTAGTTCCTCCAGTGCTTTGTGAAACAATATACTACAAAGACTGTAGATAGAATACTAACTGTCTGTCCAAACCATCTGCCTATTGTTTTTTGTCTAGATTGAGCCATTTTTTGTGAGTGTGGCACTTTATGACCTGAGAGATGGTAGGAAGATTTCTGCTGATTTTCACGTGGATCTAAACCACACAGTGGTCAGGCAGATGCTCTTGGGGCCTCCCATGGCTTTGGAAAATGGCACCATCGACACCATCACCCCAAGACAATCAGAAGAACCCCACATCAAGGGACTTCCAGAGGAATGGCTCAAGTTTCCAAAGCAGGTGGCACTTTTGTTTACTTGCGATGGAACAGAAAATTCTTGTTCCACTGATTGGTCCCAACAGTAGATCATATAAGATGGGCAATTTTTCCAAGCAAAAATGTTAATGCATGTCTTTTTTATAAAAAGAAAAACAGCACATTTGTAAATGTCTTCAGTGTGCCTTCTCAGATGTGTAATACCTATTTCTTTTTCATACATAGGCTATATTTTCTGTAAGTGATCCACATTCTGAAATTGTTTTGGTGGCCAAAATTGAAAAAGTCTTGATGGGAAACATTGCAAGTGGTGCTGAACCTTACATCAAGAACCCAGACTCCAACAAGGTAGTGTGTGTATTTTCTTATAAATAATATCAATTGCTTTCAAGAAATAAAATGCAAGGCTGAATTGTCAAGTTTGATAAATGTATAATTTTAAACATTTACTTATTAGTGAAATAAGCAGGGAAATTCTTACATATGTGTTTTTGGTTTGTGGGGTGATATTTTTAACTGAGCAGTTTCTGACCTCTGAGACTCTATTGGTGGAAAAAAGTTAAATGCAGATAAAGTTTTAATCCCAAGGGTTAATGTATAGTGAAAAATTAGGAATAATTGGAATGAAACAAGTGAAGATCAATTGTTAACACATCAGCAATGCAAATGATGAACTAAATCAAAAAGTAAGACAGATAATTATGTCCTTGGTACGGAGAAAAAAAGACAGAGAATACCTTGAATGACAGAACTATAGGTAAAGTCTGCTTGCTCTTACTGTACTTTTAAATGATGAAATTATGTATTATTGATGTTTCAGAATAAATATAAAACTAATTTATTTTCCATGCAAAAGTAATACATTAAGAAAGTAGCTCCTAAGAATTAAATTTGGAAATTATAAAAATCTAGGGTAAAGTTTAATAGATTTTACCGAGTCTCTTATTTCAACATTTGGCAAACTACCTGTTCATGCAAAATCCATCTGCTTTTGTTTTGTTTTGTTTTGTTTTATTGTTGGTCGTGGTACTTGAACTCTGGGCCTAGGTGCTGTCCCTCAGCTCTTCAGCTCAAGGCTAGTGCTCTACCACGTGAGCCACAGAGCCACTTGTAGTTTTCTGAGTAGTTTGTTTATTGGAGATAAGAGTCTCATCGACTTTTCCTGCCCCAGATGGCTTTGAACTGTGATCCTCAGATCTTAGCCTCCTAAGTAGCTAGGACTACAGGCATGAGCCACTGGTACCTGGACCCATTTGCTTTTGTAAATAAAGTTTAATTAAAACAAGGTCAGATTCATTTATTTATACCCTAATATGTATGGAGCCCTGGTTTCAGTATACAGCACTAAAAAGAATACTGATTGGTTCATCCATGGATTGTACCATGGCTACTTTCCTACTGTAGCAACGGGGTTGAAAAGTGTGTCAGAGGCAATATGGCCCGTAACATTCTTTAGAGAATAAGCCTACTGACTTCATTCAATCAAAACAAAGATATGGTATTGACTGTGATTATAAATTTGTTTCTGTTGTCCATTAAATATATTATGATTTTTAAGAGAGAAGGAAGGAAGGAAGAATTGAAGGATGGAAAAGAGGGAGGGAGGGAGGGAGAGAGGGAGGAAGGAAGGAAGGAAGAAAGAAAGGAAGGAAGGGAGGGAGGGAAGAAGAATAAGAAGAAGGAGAAAACAGTTGATACTCAAAAACATGATACATTTTACATTTAGAATTTTCATACTAAATAGAAATAATCATGACCTACAATAGTTTGAGGACAAAAGATATCATACAGAATCTGACAGAAATCTACAGCTTCAATACTAGATAATATGAAAATTATTAAATAGTATTTCATATGTATTGTTAATAAAGGTCTGTTCCTAAAGAATATCTCAATTTTCTCCTTTAGTTTGCACAAAAGATACTCAAATCCAACAGACACTTCTGTAGCAAGTTGGGGAAATACCGCATGCCATTTGCCTGGGCGGTGAGGTAAGTTATCTACCACAACCAACAGAATAGAAATACATTATTTGCAGTCTACATTGGAAGCTCCCATTTTTTTTAATTTTTATTTTTATTTTTTGTGAACATACTGTACAGAGAGGTTACAATTACATGGGCAAGATAGTGAGTACATTTCTTATCAAGCATTGCAGCCTCCTCCTTTGTTTACCCTTCACATCCCTTCCCAGTCTCCCCCTACCCCCCCACCCAATCCCCCCACCACCACCAAAGTTGTAAAGCTCATTTTCCACATAACAACTTGTACTTCTCATAGATGCAACGGGTCCACCTGTTTCCTTAAACTACTTGTTTTTCCCCATCTCCTTCACAAATTATACCGACATCAAATATAGTGAAAGCGGGGTTATACTGTTGGGGAGGAACATACAAAGCAACAAAGAAATAATCTTATAAATGAGTAAGAAACAAATGCATGAAAGAAAAAACTTTTAAATACATATCTAAGGGTTCATTTTCCTAACATCACATTATCTGACCTTTTCTGCTTGACTCATACATTTACTAGATATTGCAAATAAGGGAAACCACGGGACCTATGTTTCTTTGCGCTTGGCTTACTTCACTTAATATAATTTTTTCCAAGCCTTTCCATTTCCTAACAAATGG